CCCCCGGGGGGCCGCCCCACAACCGCCGCCCAGCCCACCCCCCCGCACCTCAGGGGCCGGGGCGTCCCGGCAGGGCAGCGTCCCGTCCCCACTCACCGCGGAGGCGCCGAGTTCGAGTTCGGCTTCGGCTCCGGCTCCAGCCCCGTCCCGCACCGCCGCCGCCGCCTCAACCTGCTCTCCCGTTCAAACGCACGGCGCTGCCGCCCGCCCCGCCCCGGCCCGGCCCGCCCTCCGGCGAGGAGCGTAGGAGAAACCCGGAGCGGCACCGTAGCCGGAGCGGAGCGCTCTCCCGCCCGCCAGCGGAGCGCCGGCGGCGGCCGAGGTCGGCGATCCAGCCCCGGTGTTGCTGCGGCCCCGCGCCCGCTCCTATTCAACCTGCTCCATTGTGTGTCCGCTGCGAGTCGGCGGGGCGCCGCGCCCGCCCCTCAGCGCTACCCCGCCTCACGGCTAGCCGCGGGGCCCTTTCCCTAACCGTCCCGGTAGCGCCTTCCCACGGCGGGACTCACAGAGTTCCCCGACTCGAACCGAACCGGGGCAAGCGGTCCGGGCTGAGGCGGAGCCGTCGTCCGGCGGGAACTGAGGGAGCGTAGGCGGCCTCTCAGAGCGGCCCCTCAGGCTCACCTTCGCCCCGCCGGCGGCGGGTGCCATGGAGACGAGCGAGGCGGGACGGTCCCGCCGCCTCAGGGCGCCCCGGGACGGCGGCAACCGCCGCACCTGCCGCGGGGTCGGGCGGCACCGCCTCTCCTCATAGCCTCTCTTCACAGTCTCTCCTCAGCGCCTTTCCTCATAGCCTGTCCTCACAGTCTCTCCTCAGCGCCTTTCCTCATAGCCTTTCCTCACAGCCTCTCCTCATAACCTCTCCTCATCGCCTCCGCCGGCGGGACGACGGAGCAGCCCCGGGGAGGCACCTACCGCCCTCGGGAGCCGGAGAGAGTGTTCAGGGACCTTCCCCCCCCCAGCACGGGCGGGATCCCCCGGGGAAGGCAGGGAAATCGTCGGGTTTGACTGACTTTTTGTTTTTTTTTCCCCTTTAAATATCTACGGTGAACTGCAAGGGCTGTTCACCTGCCTTGGTTAACGGAACCTAACGGCAGGGAAGCGATAACCGGTACTTACACAGCCTTGATTTCCCTGATGTACGGTGTACCGACGGCCACCGAAAGCTCTGGCCTTCCTCCTGGCGTGAGGGAACGCGCCGCTGGCGGAGGAGGTCAAGTCTAAAACTCCGCTTTCGGAGTTATAACTTCAGATATCTGATAGTCCCGTGGGTGACTGAGGAGCGTTTTGGAGGGAACCAGCAGGTGTGAGCTCTGACGGACCGGGAGAGGAGCGGGAATACTGCAACGAAGAGGAGGTGTAGCCTGGGGAAGGTGACTGCGCTGTCTCTCCTGTCCCTTGGCGGGGGGAAGCCATCCCAGGCACCCATCGCTGTGTGGCAGCGAGGCCTCGCTCCACGCACGGGGCCAAGCTGCTTTGCTAGCCTGTCAGGAAAGGACGCTAATGAACGGCACCCTGCCCACCGCTTTTGGGTGGGCTCCGAAAAAGGCTGGTAATGTTTATGGCAACCATTTGCCTTACATGCTGCACCGGCAGCAAAAGGCCTGTGCAAAACTGAAGATCTTTTTCTTAGTGGGCCATTTGGAGGCCTCACCTCTCACCCCCTATGATCTTTTTAAGATGTTTTATTGCTCACCGTGCATTCAGAGTTGCAGAGCCAAGGCGAGAGAGATAAACCACTTCATTCTTGTCCTTATGCTCATTCCCAGTCACACATGAACTGCACCCTCTGCTTGGAAATACTCTTGCCTGTATTGCAGCTGGGGCTAAAGGAACGGGATAGTGCTCCTCAGAGGCAGTGCAGGGTGTTTTTAGATAATAAAGTGCTTTTTCTCCCCTGACCTCCCAGCCGGTTCCTCAACTCGGTTCTGCAGAGCTATTTGTTTCTACTCCTGTTACCGCTTTTTCAATAGACAGGCCTCCCACGGAGACAGGATCTGCAACCTCTCAAGCCTTGCACAGATGGAAAGCACAGCTTTGAACTGAGTTGTGCTTTTTTGAGGGGGGAGGGTGTGGTGGTGGTTTTTTTTAAAACAGATAAGCCTGGATGATAAGGAAAACAGCATTAACAAACAATTACAGGAGTTGACTTTCATGAAATCAGTTGTCACTGCAATCCCAAATCCCGCACCACTAGGTTACTCTCTGTGAGACTAGTGTTGTCCGTTACAGCAATGATCCCTTACGCAAAGCTGCTTCCCTGGGTTTATATTCTGACCGAGATCTGCAGTAAGAGCACATCACCAAAACTTTTTGTCTTGTGCAACAAACACAAAAGGAGATCGGAGGCCTGAATTCAAAGATTTGGATATCCATCTCCACAGTTCCTTCCAAAATTATTTCTGTAAGACTACCTCACAGCCACCAATACAGGGAAGGGAACTTAATTTAGTTCAGACCAAGGGGAGGCTTCCTCGACAGAAGTGATACAGCAGCTGTATTGCCACCCTTTAAAAAACCCTCATAAACCACAACCTAACGCAAAGGATACAGCTATTTGGTGTAATTCAGAAAAATCTCTAGGGCTTTTCTGAACTTCACCAAGGCTAAAAAGGGCTAAGAGACAAGACTGCGAGGGAACAAGCTTGGTTCACACTCACCCACACCTCACCTCTGCTTGCTGGAAATGTAGCATGCTGTTTCCTGAGATTTTTCTCTCAGCTTTACAGGGGATTTTTTTGATAAATCCTCCTATGACTCATTTACAAAATAGAAGTGCAAAGTCCAGGTAGAATTATTTTTAATTATTACAGAAAAAAAATCCTACCTGTACAATTATGCCCAGTTTGGAAAAGCTCTTTTTACTTACAAAGTGTAGGAACAGGAACACCTATAATCCCCCAGGAGAAGTGGATTATTGCTGAAGCTGAATTTGTAGTTCAAAATCAACTTTGAATTTTGCTTCAGAGAATGCCCTGGCCAATCCCGAATCCCTGACCGTGACTTGTATGTCCAAGTACCACAGCAGTGGTTGGCCTAGCCCTTCACCGTATAATGCATAAAACCAGATGCCTCACTTTTTTTCCCTTTTTTTTTTTTTTTTTTTAAACAGGCACAGATTCAGTTTCCAGCTCCTGTCAAGGTCTGCTTCTGCCCACAGAGCCACTTCCCGTCCCCCACATTGGTTTCCAACACTGAGGTCTGCGCTACAGGTACTTCATGGCTACCTGCTCACTGTGCTTTGCAAAAACCAGCCTCACCCCTGAGAGGACCCAGGAACGAAAATAGTGAAGAAGCACTGACATCTATTCTTACCCAAGGAGAAGCTGCCTTTTTTTTTTTCAGTGTCAGGATTCACGATTTTGCCCTGAAGTCAGCAGAGAAAATGACATAGCAACTAATTGTCAGACAAGCAATGTTCAGCTATTAAGATTATTTTGTACCACGCTCTTCTCTCTAGTATTTGGTAGGCAAGGAATCGCACAGAAAGAAAGAAAATCTGTAAAACACTTTAAATAAATATTAGGACTGTGGGAGGTTAAACAAAGGTCAAGTGCTTGGTAACATGTAACAATGAACATAAGAAATCCAATCTATTCTGAGAATATTTACAAAATAAAGAACAATACACTCTCATATTCTTAACACGCATTTCAAAAATAAAACAAAACCAAGAATTTAAGTTCTTAGTATGGTATGGTCCACCTTTTCAAATTTCATGTTAACGTTTTATTTTCATCTTAATTTTAGATATTTATAGAACCATCAGAAAAAACAGCATCAGTTTTTTCTCTTCAGTTGAATGTTGTCTTCTAAAAATTTGGATTACTGACATATTAATTTATATTCTTGATATACCAACTGTTGGGTTTTTTTTTCCCCCAAGAACGTTTATTTGTTATGACCTTATCAGCTTTTTAAGATCAGCTGTAACAAATTACCTTTTATATTGGTAACAATGCAACCCATTATTCAAGATGAAAGATTTTTGAAACACAAATTATACACAAAAGCAGTGTTAGAACAGAATTCAAACAAAATGCTCGTGTGTAAACACATACCACAAGCTTTGTAAAGGTCTGAAATGGAGTTTTCTAACCAATGTGAGCTACGTAGTAATGACATGTAACAGAGAAGCATTTAAGGCCCAACATGCTGAACTAACACTCTGCACCTCCCTAAAAACTGGACTGTCGACTGCTTTCACTAGGCAGTTAACAGAGCTGTGTAGGTGTTTAGCAGGTGGAAAACTGGACAACTAACTTAGGTCGTCATTGTGAAAAAGTTCGGCTTCAGAACATTTTAATTTGTGGCCTGCGTGCTACTACTAAATTTCAATCTCATAGGGGTTATAATATGGCATGAAGTAACTATGGGTTTTCTGTTCAAGACAGGGACCCTTGAAATCATGGCACTGTTTTTTATCATAAACTTACACTTTACGTAAAGCGCATAACATAGGTAACTGGCATTCCTCCAAGCAAGTCTCCCTTTTTACCTTTGAATAGAGCTTCTTAACCAGCTTGCAAATTGTTTCAATGTCTGTACAAATTTATTGTTGCTTATACGATCTCTGATTCTTTCAGAGTAGCTTTCTTCTTTCCATATTCCTTTATTTTTCTTCAAGGCCTTTAACTCTGCTCGAAGCAGTCTTTTGTGAAGTTTCCAGTACAGGCGGGAATCATGATGTAGTCCTTCAATACGTGCTGTTCTGCCAAGCCCTTGTCTCAAGAGCTCTTCATTTAAGCACACGCTGAGAAATCGACCCTATAAAAAGGCACATTAAATAAGATATTCACTTCACTTTTAAAACACTTTTATTTATTTTTTTGTGTGAAGTCCCTCCGAGATACAAGCTTTACTTGTGGCTAAATCTACGCTCTGGCAGAAAGAGTTAAAAGTTAAGAGGAACCCAGCAGACTGTTAAAACCTAATACTAATGCAAGACATTTGTGAGAGAACATTTGATAGACTAAACATTAGGCTAATCAGAACTACACAGTATAGCCTAGCACTATCTGAGAGACAAATAACACTCATGTCATGAACCAGTCGGCAAAAATACTGGTCTTGAAATCAGATTTACAAATACAACATTTAAAATTCATATCAAGATAGATAATTATAAACATATATATATTTTATATATATATAAATTAAATAATAACATTCCTTAAATGTACTGAGATAACTGAATTGCATAACCACAGTCAAACTCAAAACTGCAGATAAAAGTCAATTTTTGCCACTGCATTTACCTTATTTACTAAAACAAGGCAGTCGAGTGACAAGTCCTCCCTTCCAAGAAGTTGGAACCATATCATTTGTTCGGGTTTCAACTCTCGCTGTAACCAGGCCACGCCGGTCGGAGCCAACTCCACTCCAGCAAGCCTTACCAGCAGAAGACCTTTTGATTGCCCTGATTATAGAAAGAGAGAACTTTGTTACTGAATGCAGCAAAGGAAATTTCATGCTTTGCACAGACCCTCAGCTGTTGGTAATGAATTTATTCCCATGGACTTAAAAAAAAATCCCAAAAATACATTTTAGTTCCCCAAAGCACTACTTATTTGCGAATAAGAATTTGGTCTCATCTCTCCTTCAGTAAAAAAAATTAATTCAAGATTGCATAAGTGGTTTAAGCTGGTTTATTTTGCATACAAATAGAAAGAACTGCTTTCATTATCAGTCACTATCACTTTATCTGAAGGGGCAGAAACAATAGGCAAGAAGCATTAGCGCCTGCAGGTGTTCGCAAAGCACCCCTGTGACTCACGGACTTGATGGACGGCTTCTGCAAAGTCACAGGAAAACTGTCCCCAAGAATGCGGTTTGTATGTGTAGCTGCCAGATCTTCATCCGTAAAAAAAACCCGCGTAATCCCAATAGAGTCTTTTTGCCAGGAAGGAGATGAGCTATGCAAGCAAATGGACTGCCTGCTTTTGCTGCCAGAAAAATATCACGATAATGATGCTAATTAATACAAATATTGTACTGGCAAGCCCTTTTTACAGGTCTCCTCGCAGCCTCCGATTCCCCAGTTTCCCACCTGTAAAGTAGGGAAAGACCAAAAGGCAGAGCCAGAACTGTACCTTAACCCTTCCTCTCAAGCTTACCCCTACCTGTTCTCCGTGTAGCCGCATGAAGAACAACGTTTCATTCCTACCCTTGTTCTTCACGTACTTTTACTTACATTTTCTCTGAATCGATGTAATGAAAGGAATGCTAATGGGAATGTGTTCAACTTCCAGGCCTTTCTCAGTTACGCGATGAAATTTTCCCCGCAACTTCACATTCTTTTCTACAAACTCCACAGGTATATCCAAAGCACTTGTAAACTTTGCTGTCTATTGACGGAAAGAAGAGCAAGACAAAATTTTTTTAAAAAAGGCAGTTACAATCACATTAAATCCAACAACTTCTTAAAATAGTTTGGCTAATTACAGATCTATTATTAGACAGCATGGGCAAGTATATGTATATATTTTTAATGGTAATCAGCTGCAGGAGCCATTACATGCTGGCCTTTCCAGACACTTAGGGATGTTCCCTGTTTTACAGGACTTGCAATATTAGGGGTGGGCATGAAAGCGAGGTTTAGAGAAAGAACAGAAACACATTTTTCAGCACTGCATATTGAAGTTCATTTGATTCACCACGAAAAGAGTGTTTTAAAGTGGCCTGAACCCTGCTAGAACAAGGCTGAAAGGAAGCCAAGACGTATTTAGAGATGCTAGCAAAGAGCAGGCACACTGAAAACAAAGGCGGAGCGGGGAGGACAGAAACAACACAGCCTGTGATAAAGGAATAAAAGAGGAGAGGGACAAAAGCAGGTGTACACCTTTGAAAAGATCACAAGAAGATAAAATTTGATACCATAGCCACCGATTAACGGGAGGATTCAAAGGGACAGTTACATGATCACACAGGAAAACTAAGCTTAGCAGCAGCAAAGACTTGGCCTGCAGCAGGGCAGGGACCAAGCGGCCACTGGTTTAGGGGGTGGAGGGAGAAGGACAGGCACCGGGGACGGCCTAACACCCACAATTTCAGACACTAACGTCTAGAGGTCTCACTGGAAGAAGCCTTTTGTAGAACACTGACCTACTTCTACACACACCACTATGAAAAGTATCGACCTGCTTATCTACAACTGCTGTGACGCGCCAGCCATTGGGGGAAATAAAAAACCAAAATACCACGACTAAACTCAAAGAGCTTTCTACTGTACATTATTTATTCAGCAAACCTTCCCGTTTGTGGTCCGTGAGGTCTCCCACCAGGAATACAGAGATTCAGGACCTTGCAGGCAGAAAGCCTGAGGGTTTTTACAAACAGAAGTTGTTCAAGTCTGATCTCACGTGTGGTGGAAGCTCCAACAACCTGGTTAACACGTTCCCAAACCCTTGGTTTAAAAAAAAACCAACCCCAAACCATCAAACCAAAACCCAAACAAAAGAGGAAAAAAAAAGAGAAAAAAGAATTCTGGCAACCTTTGTAGTTCCGGCTTTCTGGTAATATTTTAAAGTGAAAACTTTATGCAAATGTTCTCTCAGGGCGAACTGCATTTGGAATTGTGCAGAGGGAAGACTGGGGTAACTATTATTTTTCAAACAGGTAGAAGACCACGGGAGAACGGGTCGCTCCCTACCTGCGAAGACGCAGCTTTGCTAGCGGCGAGGCGTTAGCGCCTGCCGTGAACCGCTCGTTTTAGGAAGAGAAGGAAGTGCTAGGGCCAGGTTTAAAAATATTCAAAAAGCAGTTCTGCTCGTGGAAGCACGGAGAAAAGAGGCGAGGAAAACACCTCTACTTCGCCCTCCCTTTGGGCTAAGCGGCGCGAGGCAGTTCGGACCCCACGAGCGACCCGTGACCGCGGGAACCGGGGAGGTGCAGAACACGCTTCTGCGTCGGAAAACAAGAAGGCCCGAGGAAGCTGCCCCTCCGTTCCGGCCGCGGAGACGCCGCTTGGGAGGGCAGCGCCGTCAACCCGGGCTCCCCGCCGCCGCCCCGGGCCCCCCGCCGCCGGCCCGGGGGGGCCCCCCCCGCCCCGCCGCACTCACCATGCGGACGCTGCGGGCCAGCACCAGCAGCCCGGCCACCGCCATCCCGGCGCTCAGGTTCTGCGGGCGGAGGAGAACGGGCTTCAGCCGTCGCCATCATCCCCGTCCCCTCAACCCGCTCCCCCGCCGCCCCACCGGCCCC